TAAACGCCCGGGGCTGGCAGGAGAACTGGCTCCTGCAAGCTGCACCAGCCCGGCGCCCCGCGGCCCGCTCAGAGTTAACTGTGGCTCTTTCTGCTTCCCGGCTCCTGCGCGCGCGCCCACACTCGCGGTCCAGATTTAAGGTGGTCGGGAGCAGATGAGGGAGATGGGGCAGGGGAGAATGGCCCTGTCCTCTGTCTCCAAGACCCCCCTCTCCTTGCTCCAGCTCTGGCCTGCCACCCTAAGGCTAGTCTACTAGGCTTCTCAGCCAGCAGATACCTGGTAGCGAGCTGCGCGTCGCAGAGCAGGCAGCTCCACGCTCGCTCTCTCCAGCCCCCACCCCCTGCTCCTGTGCCCCGCCAGCGCCGCTCCACCAGCCGCTTGGCGCACCTAGCCCTAAAGGTAGGACTTGAATATTTTAATAGGGCAGTAAAAAGGATGCTGACCTATATTTGCAAGGAAACCCATTTCCAGCTTCAGTCCTACGTGCATGGAGTTTCAGAAAGTCTTGATTTGGCTGGGAGATTGACAGCCTAGAAATCTCAAAGGAGGTGGGATGAGAAAGAGGATCATATTTTGCTTTGCCCTATGTCCATCCACCCTCGCCGCTACTAATATCTATTTATTCTCTTCGAATTCTTATGCAAGCAGGTTGAAAATTAAAGCGATTGCAAAACCAGCAAGTTCCAAGTCCCTCCCCTAAGGTACCGCGGGCTCTGGAGAACAGAGGAGCATCCTTAAAGAAATATCAATACATTCCCCCTGATCGGCACAATTGGGGACGACGGATCGCAGTCAGGCTATGGGATACAGTGGGGACAAGGCGAGCGCCCCCGGAGCTCCTGCCTTTTGTCAGAATTGCCCCCTGGCTTTCCCAGTTAGAGTTCTTTGGTGGTGGCAGCGTAAAGGGTGGGGGTGGTCTTGGGGAAAAAAAAAAAAACAGAAAAGGGAAAAGTAGGAGCTAGGAGCTGGAATGCTCCAGGGTGTGTTTGTAATGCCCTGGAGGCCCCTTGAAGTGTAAAGGGGCATCCCCATTCCCTCTATTTTCCGTCCCCGCTTGGAAAAGGCAGATACCCCCAGAGTGAAGGTCTCTCCAAGTTACAAGCTAGAATAGACACAGATAGAGGAGGCCACCCCGGAGACTAATTAAATGAGGGACGAAGCGAACCCCATCTTCTGGTGCCCCCACTCCACCCAAACCCTAAACTTCCTGCTGGACCCTTCACCTCCTTTCTCCTCCCGGAAGAGGAGTGCTAGGTGGGCAGGTGGGTGGGGAAGGAGAGGGCCAAGCCGCCTTCCTACCTGCCCAAAGAGCAAACAGCAGGGCTGACTGCTTGGTCACACGCAATCCCCCAGGGGAAGGAGACTGTTTCCCACCCGCAGTGGGTCTCTACCTGAGTCATCAGTCGGTCTGCTCCCGTGTTTTCCTCATCCTTAAATATGATGTCGGGGTTGTAATTGGGGGTGAGCTCCTTAAATCGCTCGGAGTTTCTTGTGATCTTCCCTTCGTATCTGCCGCTGGCCCCTAGGGTCTTCTCGGCTACGTTGGGAATAAACTGCTTGTAGGCTAAAGGGGTCAGCTTTTTGGGGTGCCGCCTCTTTCCAAACCCCCTACCGGGCCCGCACGCCAGCCCGGGGCACAGCAGCAGCGAGGAAGCGAGGACCACCAGAAGACATCTGGCTAGCAGCAGCATCTCGTCTGCGGAACCCGAGGACTTGCGAGCTGTCCCCGCGCGGTCTGTGCGCGAGCGGGTACGCGCGGGTGTGTGCGTGTGCGCTCCTCCTTGCGCTCGGCTCTCCCTTCCTTGCTCGGCTCGTTCGTTCCCTCTGGCGCTGCCTGGCTCTTTCTCTTCCTATATAACCTTGCCTGCCGCTGCTGCAGGGGACTTGTCTCCGATCGCCACCCAGACAGGGGCTGCGATGGCAGGCTGCCGGTCCTTGGTAACGGAACACATCGGAGTTGGGTCTCGAGACAGCAATTAAAAGACAAAAAGAGCCTGATTTTAAATGGTAGCAAGGCTGGAGAGCTTGTGAGACAGGCTGCCTTTCGCACTATATTATAGCTGGCAGGGGCGCATCTGATTGGCCAAGCCGCACAAGCTCGTCTTCTGATGTTAACCCTGAGAAAGACTACATTCCCCCCCCTCTTGCTGCTGTGGCTTTATTTTCACCTGAAGGCTTCCAGTTCAAAAAAAAAAAAGAAAAAAGGTCTTTACTAAGGTAAAGGTGGGCGGGAGGGAGGAAGCCTATTTATTGGAATAATATCCCTCACTGCCGGCTTTGTGTGCATGGTTGCTTCCCCCTTACTTCCTTTAGAATGGTAGATGCTTTGGTTAGAGCCAACATAAGTTTTTAAAGGACAGTCCAGATGCGCCCCCTCCAAGCTTCAACCATCAAACATTCTCTCAATTGTTTGAGTCCAAAGCTGCCTCACTCTTGTTTACCTTATTTGCACCCTCACCCCCAGATGTGAGTGCACAGGCTAGATGTCACTGGGTTGTGAAAAAAAAAAAAGCTCACCCTGAGTGTCTCCTGATTATTTAGCATCTTTAGGTAGAGGGTAATCACAAGTGGCGTGACCTAAAGCGTTGCTGTTTTAAGTGCCTTGGGGAAATTTGAAAATACTGTCCTCTGTTGTGTTTCAGTGAATGCATCCTAGGCAAACCTCTGCAGATGGATGCATCTGAGCTGAGGGGCAGGTACAGTGGGGACTGCAGGATGGGGTAGGGTGCACAGGCCCAGCGTGTCTAGGTGCTACACCTCAGCATAGGGATGGGGGAAGGTCAGGCTGGTGTGTGCCTGGTGGGTAGAGGCCATTGTGCCTGGGGCAACGGAGAGTGGGCAAGGCCCACCCCTACAATCAGTCCCAGCTAAGTGCAGGCCTGGGGTAAGCTGAATGTGGAACTCAGGTTCCTCACCACAGCTGGCCTTACACTGGAGCTCTGCAATCTAGTTTTCAAAGACAGAAGCTGGCCAGGTGTAGGGGCTGCAGACTGAAGATGTTAGGGACCGAGGGGACAGTGTTCTGATCATAGAGGGACATCTGAGAAGAGGACAGGCTGTCTAGATGTCAGTATTGTTTGAGTGTCCAACCTTCTATGTTTTTCAGAAAAAGAAAAACCTCAAGAAATAAAATACAGAATTCATTGTTTTAATGCATCATAGGCTTCGGCTCTGGCCCTTCCCCCATCCTCCTCACAGTCAATGATTCCTCTAGAATGGGCAGGGGGGGTATTCATGTGGAATGGAACAGCAGTCCAGAGGACTGAGTTCCCATGGGACCAGCCTCTCTTTCTTGATCCTGCCCCATTTTGGGGGAGAGGTCCATCAAGCCTGAAGCTCAGCCCTCAAACAATGGGGTCTTCCAGCAGCTCCTTCTGCTGAGAAACTTGGTTGTTTTGGGGTTGATGGTGGTGTAGGGGAAAGATGCTTGCTGCTGTCTGCGGTCTGTCTCGGCAAGCAGCATGGACAGTGCCTCACATCCCAGGTTAGGTGGGGGTTGACCCAGGCTCTATCACCTCACCCCTGGATTTTCTCTCCTTTGATTTGTGAAGGCCAAGTGCAGATTCCGGGTGGGAAGCAGCCCTAGCTTCATGCAGGCCAAGTGAAGAGCCAGACTCTTAGCCTGTGTCCTGTGTGTGCATGCCTCCAGGAAAATGAGCTACAAAAGGGAGCTGCTGTTCTTTACCCAGGAGGGTAGACCTTCGTGGCATGTGGCTGTCATATCACCTCACCGGGAGGGAGGCGCTGGGCCAGACAAGACCTGGAGCCTCATCTTGCCTCAGTCTTTTCTCACTTGCTGTGTGTGTTGGCCTGCACTCTTTTCTTGATATCTTTGAGTTTGGACTGGTGAGTGGATCCTGCACCTGTAGATGGCTCTCCTCAGAATAATATGGGTTGGGTGGATGTGCATTGGAGGCAAACCCTTTAGCTCAGCGTTCCATGTGGGCACAGCTGGCTTTGGAGTTCCCAGACATGATGAGCTCCCTCTTGGCTGTGGGAATGGAGAGTGACTTGGTTCTACACTGGCCTATTGCCCACCCCCACTCCATCTCTAGGGACAACGGATGCTAGTTTCAGAGAGAGCCTGGTAAGGGCTGGCCTTCTTGAAGCCAGGGAGGATCTTTATAAGAAAATAAAGATTCATTATAAGCCCTGTTGTTCTTTTACCTTGTACCTAAGGGCAACTTGCTTCCTGCTCCAGGCTGCAGAAATGCTTGGATAAAAAGCAATCACTGTTCATATTTGTTGTCTTGAAAACAAGATTATGAGCCTAGCCGGGGGGTGGTGGGGTAAGTGCGGCGTGTCCTCTGCCCTCTTCCCGATGCATCCCACCCACTCCCCACTTCCCAGACACCAGACACCCGCTGCCTTCCACCTCCAGACACCAGATGGCTCCCTCTCTTTGCCTTTCCCCTCCAGACCATTGGGGCCCCTCCCTGTGCCTGCAAGAGGTTCCAAAGCCCAGCCTCTGCCTGGCGGGGCCAGAAGTCCCCTTAACTCTCAGGGGCTACTTCTTATTTATTTGACTAGTTCAGCTATTCTTCCTGCTGGGTTTTGCAGCCTTCTTCCCCTCATTCCATCCTTCCACCCACCTCTCCTTTCTTCACTCTGAGGAGGACTGGCCAGCCTTTATGTCTGCCCCACCCCCCAGGAGGCGCAGTTCTGGGCATGGCCCCTTCCCCCTTCCGGCCCCTGACGCTAGATGGAGTCCTCACTCTGCCTTCAGCTTTGGCCTGCCAGGTTTGGGAAATTCCACAGTCTCTAGTTGGAAGGACCTTGATGCAGGGCTAGGCTCTTTGGTTCATGCTCCTCTTGACTCTGCCACCTGTCTTTCCTCTGGACACTTACTTTCCTTTCTCCCAGTTTGAGCCAGGGATCGCAGTGCATCCCAGCACTTCCATCCAATCTTCAGCAGGGGCCTCTTTTTTCTTCTAGCTTCCCTTTCAGTAGATTTCTCTTCCTCTCAACAGCTCTGTGCCATCTCATTCTATCCAATCACCCAGTTAGGTCCATTTTTCTTATGGAATTTTTTCAATTTTGGCAAATAGAGTTTCGGCTGCTCCATTTTGTTCTCTGGGGTGACAGCCAGGGGACAGGAAAACGCCACAGTCAAGGAGATACACTACAGCTAGGAAGCAGCTTCTGGGTTAACTGTCAGAAAGTCACATGGATAAGCAACACCCTGTCCATGGCCTCTTGGTCCTCCAGTAGCGTCTTCTGGCCCCCACACCTCAGTATAAGGTGTGGGTGTTTCCTCTTGGGTCCAAATCAGCCTCAGCTCTGTGGAGGTGTATAGTCTCTAAGTGGTTTCTGATCCACTACATTTGTGACTTGGAAAGAGGGACTCAATGTGGGCAGGTGGCCTCATGACCCAGAGGACCAAGGGATGGCTTTGGATGTCAGACCCAGTTCTTCTGACCCTGATCTGGGCAATCCTCTACCACAGCTGCTTTGGTACCCCACCATGCCACTGCCATTTCTCCAGTCTTGGAGCTACTGAAGTGCAGATGCCCTTGGGAAAGGTAATACATTAAGCCTGCACATTAGAATCATCTGGGGAGATTTGAAAAAAAAATATGCCAGCCGACAGCTATGGGGCCTTGCTTCCAAACAATCCAATCAGAGTTTCTGCTTTGCTAACTCTCTTGATGGGAATCCCCAAGACCTGGGGCAGGGGAGGGGGAGCCACCCGACTGCAGCTTTCAACTGGACTGGGGATATTCTCTAGTCTCAGGAGGATGCTCTTGGGTCCCCTGGAGACCCTCTTCTATGGCTGCTCCTGGCATGGAACAGCACACGTGACTTCATAGGACGGAGCAAAAGACTGGAAGTAAGCTTTAACGAGTTGCTTATATTTTTAGAGAGCAGTGTTGAGGTGTAGAGAGGGGCCTGTGTGGGGGTGAGGGGGTACAAGCGATCAGGAGGTTTGCAGTGCTGCAGCAGAAACCATGTGTGTGGGGGGCAGGAAGCTGTAACAAGTCACTCGGTCCAGAGTAACCACAGGTCTAGATGCTCAAATGCTGCAGGTGGTGTGTGTGTGTGTGTGTGTGTGTGTGTGTGTGTGTGTGTGTAATGGGGTCCCTGAATTTGGATGCTCTTCAACACCTCCACATTGAGGAATGAAGAATCAGACCATTTTTACCTTCTTTCGGATTCTGGGGAGCCCCGCTACCTGCTTTGACCCTCTCTGTCTGCAGCCTCTTGCCAGATAAAGCAAGCAGTAGAGCATTACATCATCTACGTATCTTCCGCCCAGAGAGAAGAAAGCAAGAAGGGCTGGGTGCTGCTGTGTCAGGTTTAGGGCCAGCTCTGTATGGGAGGGGCTATCTAGATGCATGTTGCCTGGGAGTGGGTGCTGGGGTGTGACATGGAGACTTGTTCCACAGCCATTCATCCTGTTGAGGCTCCAGGCTGTCGAGTTCTCACCCTGGCCCCAGAGTCACTTTGGCTCCTATCGTGTCTAGAGTCTGTATTAGTTAGAATGTAGATTCCCAGTGTGCTGGTTGGATTTTTGTCACCTTGACAAAAATCTAGACGTATCTGGAAAGACTCTCAAGTGAAGAACTGCCTCCATCAGATTGGCCTGTGGACAAGGCTGTGGTGCATTTTCTTGATTGGTGATTGATGTGGGAAAGCCCACCCTGTTGTGGACAGTTTCAGCTCTAGGCTGTTGGCCCTGGATTCTATAAAA